CAGGAGGAGCCATGTCTTTCCCTGCCGCACAGACACTGGAGGGGAGCTGCCCTGAACCCACAGACGCGTCCCCAGGCTTCCCCTGGCCCATCCATGCTGATGACCTACATGTATCAGACCCGATTCCGGGAGCCGGGATACAGCCGAGGGCCCTGCTCCCCAGAGCCTATGCTTCAGCTGGGCGGACAGATCCTAAGGCAGTGGGTGTGACAGGACTCAGGACAACAAAGCAAGAGACCACAGAGAGTGACAGCAACCCCTTGAGACGGGTGTTGAAGGATTGGGCACAGGCGCAGGCACAGCTGAGACACGGACACTCGTTGCTCCAAAGCCCCCTTCTAACCCCTCCTCTGTACGGCCTGCGCCTGCGGAAGCTCACCCTGCGCCTCCAGAGAAGAGTACTTTGAACCCAGGGAGGGAGCAGGAGTCAGTGCATCATCCCTGGGGCTGAATTATGGGAACAGTATCTAGTGTGGTTTGTCTCCAGGGCTAGGAAGACTGCAAGATTCCTGCAGAGAGCAAGTGGAGCGAGTTGTACTGAAGAGGATGATGTGTCAGTTAGGGGTGGCAGCCAGATGGGAAGAGGGTGAGGGCAGATGTGCAGGGAATGAGCCGGTGTGTCAGGTGGCCAGATGTGAAAGGGGCAGTGGAAACGATAGGGAAGTGGGCCAGGGGTGCAGTGGAGGTGAGATAGAGACGCGGGTGAGTGGGAGAGGGCAGCCAGATATACAGGGGTGGGCTCGAGGGGAGCGGGCTGAGAACACACCCGCCCCAGCTCGGGGGCTGGAGGGTGGCTATCCCGGGGCTGGGATGACACAGTCTGCGGAGGAGACATGCTTTCTATTTACAGAGCCGGCTCTGCCTCTGGAAAGAGTAGATGACGACATGCCCGGCACCTGGCTGGGTGGAAATAAAGACATTTATGTCTTGTCCTCTGTCAACTCGGCCACGTCCTCCTCCTCCCTGGGCTGGAGGAAGGTACTCCGAGTTGCCGGATGGAGGGCTACTGGTGTGGTGGTGCTGGCCACGCGGTGCTGCTCCCCTAGCTTGTGCAATACCCACTCTGGGCCTTGGTACCTGCCCATCCTCACCTGGAGTGCCTGACACCTGACCTGACTGTTGAGTGCTTAGTGACCCACCTCAGGTGTTACCTGCTCTAAGAAGGTTCCCCTAATATCCATCCCACCGTCCCCACAGTTGCAGGTCATCACTATCCCCTGAGCACATACATCTGAGTTGAAAATCTGCTTTTAAATGACCCAACTCATGTTTAAGGTACACGAGGGGGATGTCTTGTCCCATTTATCAGTGCCCCCCCCCCAGGGTATATGAATAAGCTGCAGAGAATTCCTGGAACCGAATGCAAAATCATGTGCAAAAACTAAATGCATGGATGGATGGATAAACAAAATATAGTACATCCACAATGGAATATTACTCGGCCATGAAAAGGAATGGAGTACTTACACATGTTACAACATGAGTGAACTTTGAAAACCTGTGTTAAGTGAAAGAAACCAGACACAAAAGACCACGAAATATATGGTTTTGATTATATGAGATATCCAGGTGACAAGCAGATGGCATAATGGTTACATCGCTGAACTCCAATGTAGTCGACTGCGGTTCAAATCCTAGACCCAGTGGCTTAAAACTCATGCAAAGCACGTGTGTGTGCGTGCGTGCCCAAAATCCCAAAAGGAGAATGGAGGAGAGAGGATTGTGGCATGGCCATCCCCACAGGGGTGATTACTTGCTTTCTGCTTCTCTGTCTCTCTAGCGCGTATACATGCCCTATAGAGAGAATCTCTCTAAAAAATGAGAAAAGAAAAGAAATCTCCAGAATAAAGAAAGCAATAAAGATGGAAATAGCTTAGTAGTTGCCAACGGCTGGGGCAGAGGGAAATGGATACAGGATTGCTTCTGGGTTGATAAGAACATTCCAGATCTAGATAGAACTGATGGTTACACCACACTGTGAAAGTGCTAAATGCTCTTAAATTATATACATTAAAATGGTGACTTTCAAGTCGTGTATATTTTACCACTGTTATAAAAACAAATGCTGGGACCAGCAGATGGCATAATGGTTATGTCACTGGCTTAAACTCACACCAGGCGCATGTGTATACGTGCCCAAAATCCCAAGAGGAAGAGAAGGAACTGTGGTATGGCCATCCCCACTGGGGGTGTGTGTGTGATTTATTGCTTTCTGTCTCTGTCTCTCTCACGAGCATACATGCCCTATAGTAAAAATCTCTCTCTCTAAAAAATAAAATACAATGCCCATTTCCTGGGAGCAGATTCATAGGTCTGATCAGATTCGCCAACAGTGAAGCAGCTCTAATGCAGTCCGGACACTTTCATTGCAGATGGTGATGCTGAGAGAAAGAGGGGATGAGATTTGTCCAAGGTCACCCAGGGTCTGGTGGCTGACCGGCCAGGTCACACGCCTGCCTAATCATGCACTCCCCCACTCCTTCTTCCCCTGTCTTTAGATCTCGACTAAACCCTTCCCACCCAGCCCCAAACCTCTGAACTGCTTGTAGCCAGGCTGCACACGGCTGTACAACTTTCCTAAAAGGTCTTCTGAGAAACCAGCAGTTAGCGTAATGGCTATGTCGCTGGACTCCCACGTAGTCGACCGCAGTTCGCGTCCCGGACCCAGTGACTTAAAACTCACGCCGGGCGCTTGTGCGTGCGTGCCCAAGATCCCGAGAGGAGAATGGAGGAGAAGGGATTGCGGCATGACCATCCCCCCTGGGGGGTGATTTCTCGCTTTCTGTCTCTATGTCTCTCTCTGTCTGGCAAGCGCACGTGCCCTATAGTAAAAAAAAAATCTCTCCAAAAAAAAAAAAAGTCTTCTGGATGCTGGGCATGAGTGTTTGCCTTTTGCTCTAGATGAAACTCGGAGTCCCTAGAGGCCAAGAGGAACTGTTTCCTGTTCCCTCTGTATCTCCCAGACCTCCTGTGGCAGTCACAAAGGTGAGCTGTTCCTCTCTGCTTTTAAGAAAGAACTTGTTGGGACCAGCAGATGGCATAATGGTTACATCACTGGACTCCCACATGGTCGACCACATTTCAAGTCCTGGACCTGGCGGTTTCAAACTAAGGCCGGGCGCTTATGTGTGCATGGCTAAAATCCTGGAGAGGAGAATGGAAGAAAATGGATTGCGGCACGGCCATCCCTCCTGGGGGGTGATTTCTCACTTTCTGTCTCTCTTTCTCCGGCAAGCACACACACCCTATAGCAAAAGTCTCTCTCTGAAAAGAGAACTTGCTGAGCCTGACGTGATGCATCAGGCTTGACCCCTATGGCATCCAAGTTCACATCCAGAGACTTCCTGAGCACCCTGACCTAGGCTGGCTGAGGCTGGGAGTGGGATCAAGACCCTGTTGGGAATTTTCTCTCTCTCTCTTTCTCTCTTTCTCTCTCTCTCTCTAATGGAAGAAATAAACAAACTTAAAATAAAACCAACTTGCCCTTCACCTGCAAGGAGGGCAGTTAGAAGACAGCCTTGACAGGCATTCTTTGCCCAGAGGACACACACTTAATTGGCCAAGACTGTCAGAGTTGAAACTGTCCCAACTGTCCCAGACAAGCCCTGCTCCCTCCCACTTCATCTTTCATGAGCCTAACACTATCCTCTCTCCCCAGTAAACCTTCCCACTCCTCCATCCTGGGGCCTGCTCCCAGAGAGTCCAGAGGCCCTAGCCTACTGTGTCCAAGTGTTCAGTACTGAACTGAACTCAGTACTCTGGAGGGTGGAGGGAGGCTGGTGCCTGGGTCTCCAGACCAGGGGCTGCCCATGGGGGATATCTGTCCTAAGGGCAGTGCGGTCAGAAGGGGGACGTGGGGAGGGACCCAGCACAGGGAACATACAGGGAGCCCAGGGACTGACCTGCTCTTCCAGCATCCTCTCCAGCTCCTCTGTCTGGAACAAACTGCTGCAGCGCTCAGAAATGCTCCAGAAGACAAGGTGCAAAGTGCTCTGGCCTTGGACTTGGAGAAACCAGATTCAAGTTGTGCTTTTTACTAGTCAGATGACTTCACTCACTTCTCTCTGGAACTCAGTTTCTCCATCTGGAAAATGGGTGGAGTATCTGCTCTCTCCAAGCCCAGCATGTTGGGGGGAACTGAATGAGAAGACACTAGTTTCTGGAAGGTGCTGGGGGCAGTGTAAGCATGCTCACCCACCCTCACAGTAGCGCTTGAGGAGGTATATGACCTCTCTTTTATAACCGTGGTCTAGCCGGGTCAGGAGACTGGCCCGAGGACACACAGCTAGGAGCAGGGCCGGGTGGAGCCCCCTCGCGGTTTCCAGTTACTAACTGTTGCCTAACACTGAACTCGGCCGGGGCTGGGCCCTCCTCTCATGGAGCTTATATTCTGACATGGTTTCATTTCTAAAGGCCGAGATGGGCAGCGCGAGGAGACCCCATGTCGGGGTAAAAGCCTGGCTGGCTTGGGAAGGGACGGACAGAGGCCAAAGTGGCTGCGGGAGGCATGAGCGAGGAGGTCACCAGGCGCGGGGGAAACTGGGCCAGGCAGGGGCCCCTAACACGAGATGTTGGCACGGCCTGAAAGTCGGATCCGGGGTGGCCATGTGCAGGGGCAGAGGGAAAGCCAGGAGAACGGTCGGCGGGCGGTGGCTGGAGCCCAGGAAGTTCGGGAAGGCTGAGGGCAGCGCCGGCAGCCTCGCTGCAGAACCGGGCGGTGTGGCTGACACAGGCCCTGCCCCGCAGCTGCGCCCACTCCCCACTCGGCCCCGAAGTGCCTTCGCCGCGGTCCTAGTCTTGCCGGTGACGTCACGGAGCTCGCCTGCGCTGCCTGTGACGTCACGGTCGGGCCGGGGGCGTTCTAGGGTCCCCCGGTAAGAGGAAGTCCCTGTGGCAGGCGCGTGCGAGCGCCGGATGAAGAAGGTGACAGTCAAGC